ACACGTGGGTCAGTGTGACAGCACAGCACTCACTGACAGCAGCAGCACAAGCACAGGCCCTGCTCACACAGCTCAGTCAGAGAGCTGCTCTGCTCACAGGAGCTCTGCAGCCTGTCCCCAGGAAGCAAATCCATGCTGGAAGGGCACTTTGGGGTGTCCAAGTGCAGAACAGACCCTCAAACCACAACATCCATAGTAAGAGAGAGGAGCAAGTCACCCTACCAGGAAGGGACTGAAGGTTCACCTCTCATTCCACTTTGGGTACAGCACAACAGGTTACCCAGAGGAAGCAGCACTTTGTAGAGGTTTTCCAGCACTGTCAGGTGTCACAAAGGGCCCTCCCTGTGGCCACGAATCCAGTCTGGAAATGAACATTAGATCTGCTGTTCCCAGCTTGCTGTGGTCTGGTGAGGGATTAATCACTGACACAGCCAGAGAGCATTTCCCACCCCTCTGTTTCTGGCAGGCAGGAGGAGGTTGGCTGCTCCTCTGACCCTGCAGGTCAAGGGGCACTGCAGTGTTCCCAGAGAGAAGATACCAGACCCGCTGCAGTCCAACAGACCCTGCAGGATCACCAGCAGGACCTCTGGTACTGAACTCCTTTCTCATGCTCATCTTCCCCCAAGCAGCATCCCAAAGGTGAGCACTCAGGGCCTTCAGCCTTCCCTCCCTCTCTCCAGTGGTTGTACAACTTTATGACTAACACAAAATCTGCATAAAAAAGCAGATTCTATTCCTGCCCCGGTGGATTGAAAGGAGGTAAGTTGAGTATGCCAGGAGGAGAGGACAGAGGGAGGCTTTCCCCAGCCTCATTTCACCCTCTCCAGGCTCTCTGAGCCCCACAGGCCACGCTGGAACTGTCACCACGTCATCTTGGCACAGGATTTCACCTGACTCGGCCTCTCGCTTACAGGCACGACTGACACTGCCCCAGTCACTCCCAGCACACCTTTCACCCTCTGCTCACACTCTCTACATGCTCTTGGGCAGTTTATTCCTGGGGTGTTGTCACCCTGTCACCACCACAGTGTCACCAAACTCTCCACTGACTTGATTTCAACCCCTACACGCCACAGACATCAACAAGCTAAAACCAGTCCCTTCTCCACCCCTCTTCTGGGTATCTGGAGGGATGCTATCCAGTCTTTTCCAGATCACCCAGCACAAAGACTAGAGGGACTCGGAGCAGTGGTGGTTGTACTGATGTTCTCCTTTGTGTGTGCATTTTGCTGGTTTAGTACTACACGTTGGAATGACACGACACTTGGGGTTTGGGATTTAATTAGTGCCTATGACTCACTCTCCCACCCAATTCCATAATCCTCTGGTTGCATTTGGGTACTGATATGTTATTTTATATCCATATAAGTGAAGATTATTCACCCTCAAGTTGCACACACAGAGAACACTGAGCCTGTCCTGGAGGCTGCATCGTGTCTCAGGAACACACGGACATCACCAGGGCTTGCTTCCCATGATCCAGGCCCCAAAATTGGGCTGTTCTTCACCCAGGCTGTGCCAACAGCCTGCAGGCTGACGCACAAAGCAGTGACAGGGGAGCTCAGCCACAGGCTCACACACAGACAGACCCACAGGTGCCACTGGGACCTGCAGGACTCAGCAGGTGGCAATGGGGACAGAGGTGACACAGGACACACCACACAGACAACAGCAGCAGGCCTGACAACACAGACAACAGCCAGGAGGGCCTGACCGTGCATCTCCCACTCTTACTACACCCAGATGTCTCTAAACAGTGTGTGTGTTTGTGTACATGTGTGTTATAAACCAGAGGCCAGCTCTGAACAAGAACAAAACAAACCCTCATCCCCCGCCAGCAGCTGAGAGCAGCAGATAATAACACTCAACTAAACAGGGCCTCCCTCAGCCCAGATCTTCTACCTCAAAGGAAATAACAAGCTTTACTTCCTTGTTTTTTGCTGTATTTTTTTAAGTCACTTGACTTATCTAAAGCATAACAGTGCCAAGTTTAAGGGACTGCTTCAATCTAAAGGCCTGTCCCAGCACCTCCCAGAGCAGGATTTGAAGCAACTCTCCATGTCAGGAACACAACCCACTCATCTCTGCAGGGTACACAGAGGGGTCCTCTGGGCAGTCCTGAAGAGGGTCTCCTTCAGCTCAGGGCTCTAAACTACCAAGACATAAATCCTTACAGTCTGTACAGGCCTAAAAGCTACAAAACAAACGAGATTACAGAAAACAAAGTACCACAAACCACCTTTCATGCACAGGAGCAGTCCCTGGGAAGCTCCCTGTGCTCATTTCCAAGAGGAAAGGTCCAGCTCTCAGTGTCTGACCTCCCCATATTCACCTGTGCAGGGAGAGAAACACCACTAAACCAAAAATCAGTGCAGCTCCTGGGTGGTTCACTGAGCTTTCAGTTGTGGGTTCATCTGTTCCTCTAGGCTGTTTCCACTGCCCCTAAAGAGCACTTTAACAGGCTGCATCCTGGAGTGGAGATAAAACTGCTCTGGGAAACTTATCAAATCAGATCTTGAAACATCAACCACCATTTAAATAGTCTGAACATTTAAGAGTTATCTTGAGGGCAAAGAAAAAAGGCAAATCACTAAGTCCAGCTGGAAGAGCTTTGTCTGTGTAAGGAGCAATGGTCACAGTCACTCATGTTGCAACCCTGTCCTGCCCATTTAAAGTGGCTGTAGGAGGGAATCAGAGCTCCAGAGCTGCAGGGAAGTAGATGGCAGCTGGATAAAGCATAAAGGACACTCAGTATTTCATGACAGGAAACCTGAAACGGGCACAGTATCAGGAGAATCAGCTGAAACCTGCATCTCCCCAGATGGAAAATTAGCTAAGAAGGTATTTTTGCAACCAGATCAGGAATTTCACAGTGATCATACTCAAAGGAAGATTATAACAGTGACAACTGTAAAAAGTCAGGAGAGCTCAGAGCTAAACTGAATTTACAGGAAATGCAGCTCCTATTTTATAAATGTTTCTAATGATATTTTAGTTCAAGAAACTATACAAGGGATACAGGTACAGGTTGTGTGTCAAGCCAGCCAAGGAGAGCATCCCTCTGGCATAGGACAAACTCTTGAAGAATATTCAAGCTTTGCTGGGCAAATCACCAGCTCCCCTTCCCTCCTTGCAGAGCATGTTCACAGATCACTTCCTCCTAGCAAAGGCTGGGGCTTCCCAGGCTTCATCCCTGTCAGAGGAAAGCAGTGCTGGGGAATCAGGGTGGAGTCTGTGCTCACCTGGTCCATATTCATATCAACTCTGAGCAGAGGAGGTCATAAACTCACTGTTCAACACAGTCTGTGGCAGAGAAACACACGTGCAGCCCTTCAGCCCCAGAGGTCTCAAAGTTTAGGCAAGAGGCTCCACACTCTCCCCCAGTAATAACCATTTTAAGCAGCAAGAAGTTCTCCATGGAGCTCACATCAGAGCTGGAAAGAATGTGATCTCCCCAAAGTGAATTTGCACACTAGCAATGCAGTTTCCCTGTTCTCTTGGCTCAGAAGCAGAGCACAGAGGAGTCTCCCTGGCTGGCCAGCAGCAGTCCCTCAGCAGCCCCACGCCGAGTGAGCTCCCCGGGCACCGGGAGCCTGGCATCTGTGCCAGCCTGGTGCCCCACACAAAAGGCAACTGGGATTTAATGGGAGGGGGGGAAGAAAAAGGGGAAAAAACCAAGCAACCAGCTACAAAGATTCCTCCAGAGTGCATTGGACAACACACACCATAAGGGCAAAGATCTGCTTCCAACAGAGCAAAACAGCTCAGGCAAAGCCCTGCTTTTCACAAACCCCTCTCGCTCCCGACTCCAGCAAGCAGCAGCTGAAGCACTGCCTAAGCTTCAGGCTTTAAACACCACCAGGCAAACTTAACATCCAGCACATCTAACAGAGCAAAGGACCTCTCTCCAGGTTCAAGCTTACGTGGAGGTCGTGGGTCAGACTCTCAGCCAGGGGAAAGCAGGGCCACAGTCAGCCCTACACAGATTTACCATAGCTGAGAATCCTAATGTGATTATCCAATATTACCAACACAATTATAGGGCCTTTGCTTAGTGTCACTGCTGCCATATCTAGGCCACGACAGGACGGATTTAGATTTACAGGCTCCACCCTCTCCCTTTAAACAGGCAGAGCGTCATCGGTAATGTTGGTGTGGCAGCCCCGGCCACGAGGGCCTGAGCTGTGCAAAATAACACAACCAGGAGCCTCCTCCAACACAGAACACAAGCAGGGCCTCCACCTCTCCTCATTTTAGGAGAGCAAGACTGGCTGTCGAGGGACTGTGGCAGTTCTGGGAGTTGGTGTTTAGTTCATTAGCTATGACGTTCTCAATAGCGAACAGACACAAAATATTTACACAGTCAGGCATTTTCGCAGCATGGATAACATGGGAAAAGCTTAACTGCCTCTCCTCACTGCTCTGGGGGTTTATTTTGATAGAGCTGATTTTGAGCCATTCAGCTTCATTTCTTTCCATGTTCCATCACAGAGCTCTACGAGCCGCTCCTCTCCCCTCCACGATCCCCTTGCAACTCCCAGCCCGTGCCAGGGGAAAGACAAAGGGGAAGCTGGAAATCATAATATAGCAGGGAAAGGAGGGAAGAAGGGGTGTGAGGGGGCAGGAAATTAATCTCTGCCATTCGGTGAAACAATCAGTGGGCAAGATTCAGTCTGTGCATTAACTCTGCATTTCTCTTTCCAGAAGCTCCAGTCCAAGGGCAGCAATAGCCTGGCACCGCCCACCTCTGAGAACACCAGCAGAGCACAGCCCAGACACCCCAATTTAGGGGTATTAAAGTCTCCAGTGTTTGCAGTACCTGTGACAGCAATTTCATAACAAACAGCAGCTCACTGGAGGCGATGGAGCTGTCCTGGCTGTCACAGCAGGAAGCACGCTTAGGTGTTCACGTGGGGAGATTTGCTGGGCATGTGCTCTGCTTTCCAGCCATGTGCATCCACTCCACTCCCCCCTGACAGGCTGACTCGGAAACCCAAAGCTGATGGAACAGTGTTTTATTACTCTGCAGCAAGACACGCTGCCTCCAAACACATTACTTGGCAAGGCAGACTCAGTCCCTCTCTATTGTGACAATTTTAGTCCTTGAACTTCCACTGTAAGCCTGAAAAAAAATAAAAATTAATGGGTCATGAATAACTCACAGCTTAAAAAAACCTGAAAAAGAATCATTTGTTTAGTTATCAGTCAGCCCTTTAAAAAGCACATTTCAGCTGCTATTATTCCAAGCAGCTGCTAATAGCATCTGAGCCCTTGTTCATCTCCAAGTGAAATTAGCACTGGCATCAACATGCTGCGGAGCATGACGGGCTCGGAGTGAGCACGGCTGGAACTGCAAAGCCAGCAAGAAGCTGCAGCAACTGCAGGCAGCTGAAAAGCTTCCCTGGAAAGGCAAGGAAGTGGTGAATCACATCAGGAGAGGAGAGGAAAAGCCAAACTAGTGGAGCAGGTTGTAGCTGGAGGTGCAGGGGAAGGAGAAAACAAGACGAAGGCCAGGGCTGGGGCTGGTTTTGAACGGGACTCACAAGGGGCAGGCAGAGCAGGCTCCTGGAGACCTGGAGTGCCATGGTAACAACACACTCCATTTGGGAAGCAATTATGCAGGCATCCATGCTCGTGGCAACAGGGAAGTTCGACATTTAGGAATTTTGATTACTATGGCAGCACCCAGACATCCCTCCTGCGCAGCACGAAAACCACAGGAGACACCCAAACACATACATTCTAGCAAGAGCCCAAGCTTCCAGCTCACAGGATACTGGAAGAGCTTCACAGCAATGGATGGAGGTTTGTTTCAAACCAGTTTCTTCTGCTTAAACCCAGGAACCCAGATTCCAGCCTTTCCAGGTCTCCCATGTAACTACAGGTATAATACCCATGAGCCACAGAAGTGCCATCTCCCTGAGTAACAGGAAAACACAGCTTAAGGACCACATCACATTCCTCTGGAAGAGCATATGCAAATCGACCCCTGAAGACAGCAGTGAACTTTTCAACTCCTCAGTACATGCCAAGTAGGAGAGAGGTATCTACTATCCCACCAGACAGCTCTCCGGGAATTTAAACCCCCAGGTACAGCCAGGAGCAGTCAGTATCCATCACTCAGCATTTAAAGAAATAAAAATCAGCCCTACATGAAGCAGGGCTTTGAATTTCCCTAAGGTGAGGAAGGAGGGATGTGAACATTTGTCTGTTCATCTGTCAGATGTCCAGGAACAGGAAAAGGTTGCAGGGGTCCAGAACCTGCAGTCTTGTGACTGTTACTCACCAACCCCGTAACCGTCGGGGATTTAATTCATCAGCTCGAATGAATTTAAATAATTGCTAACGAATCCCAACTTACATGCAATATATCAATTAATGCATTTCCAGCCTGCTCAGCAGCAGAAAAAGTTTCAAAGGTACAATGTCAGGGCTTCTCACGCTGTTAAGTTTAAAATAAAAGCAAAAGGTAGAAAACCACCATCTGTCCCCCTCCAAAAATAGCATCATTTTAATTTTTACAAAAATCCAATACATTTAATCCTGTCACATGTTCTGCTGAACACTGGGTGAGCAAGGTTGAGTTGGTGTGTTTGCTGTGGTCTCTGAACAACACCAGACCTTCAGCAGATTCCGTGTCAGCTCTCCTGCCGTGCTCAGCTGTGTGGTCACAGCTGCTGGCACCTCACGGCTCTCTCTGAGCAGCTCCACGGCAGCAGCACTCAAGTGGATTTTGGTACCAAACACAGAGCTGAGCCTCAGCAGGCACAGGGAAGGGCCAGGAATCTCCCAGGAGCATGGACAGGCTTTGTTCTCTGCCTTTGCATTCTGTGACACAGGGCCCTGGTCCCTGACACAAGTTCCTGGATACTATGGTGACATGAATATTAATGACCCTGTGGTTAAAACACCAATCAGTTACATTTGCATTTAATACAAGGCTCTGTCACTGCTCTCCTACACCGCCCTTATCAAATCACTACATCTTCATGGCTTCTCATCGGTACAATAATCTGGTAAGGCTCCCTCCCCCCTGCTCTGCAGAGAGGGGACAGGAACAGCCACACACAGAACCACAGGTTGTGACACCTCGTCCACAGGGTCCTCCTGTTCTCCAGGGAGCAGACACAGCTCAACAGACTGAACTACGACTGGTAACCAGGCACAGACACAGAAGGGTAAACTCACAATCTCATACCCAAGTACATCTTCTAACTCAAAAGCAACAGGTAAAGACCAAAGCAAAGGCTCTGACTTTCAGCAGATTTTTTTTTCTTGCCAAAAACATGCACTCAAGGACCCCAGGGCAGAATCTGACCTGTGTACTGCCCCTTCCCTCTGCCACTGTCCCTCCTTCATCCTTTGCCACCCCACAATCCTCACATCAGTGCTCTGCCAGGCATTCCTTTATTGCCTTACAAACACGACCAATAAAAACCAAACAACATAAGAACCAGCAGGATCTCACCAGCTGACAGCTGGGGCTGGCCTCCTGTGTTATCCCACCCAACTGTCCTGTGTAAGGGCTGTGACAAATACACAGCCACCAAAGAGCTCCAGTGGGAACACACTGCCCTGGGCAGCAGCACTGGCTGGAATTCCCAGGGAATACCCAGTGCACACCAGCTGAGGCCACATCAGCTGCTCCCAGCGAGGCCAGGGACATCATCCTGCTGACAGCACCTCACTGCAAGGGCAGAGCAAGGCACAGAGACATCCCAGGTTAGCAGCTCCTCTCAAGTGTGTACTTGCCTAATGGGACACTGGCAGAACTCATCACAGCAACAGGGATCCCACAGAGAGAACCTTTCCATCCCAGCCCCTGAGCCATCCTTGGTGTATCCTGTCCCTACCCAAAGAGCCATGGCACTGCCTCTTCCCTCCACCCAACACCTCCTGCCAGGTTGTGCTGTTATTCAGGGCTGGTTATTCATCTTGTTATTCATCTGCTCCCTCCCCACCACCTGAATGCCTGTCCAAGGAGAGCTGCTACAAAACCTGGGTAAAAAGGCAGGTGTGTCAGCACCTGAGTATCTGCACTCACACAGGAGCTTCCACAGATCCCTCTCCTAACTCCAAAGGATGTTTCTTTAACAATCTCCCTGTATTGTTCATGCTACCTGCCATTTGCATACCCCTGGCATTAGACACTTCTTGCCAAAGGTCATTAAGAGTTATTAGACCAGAGCCAGGGTCAACAGCAGCCACAAATAACCTTCCTGTGGACACACTGCAGCCATAAGTGAGGATTTCCCATCGATCCAGCTCCCTCCTCCCAAGCAGCAGCTCAATGCCAGAGAAAAGGTCCTTACGGCTGAAGCACTTCCCAAGTCAGAAGCAATTAATCCTTCACAGGTTCAGGACAGGTAACTAAAGCAGCACTGACTTAGCAAGGAGGTCGAGCACATAAGGCAACAGATCTGCACTTCTGTGCTTCTCACATCAGCACTGATGGTTTGTGTTCATTTTAGGTATTTCAAACCTAAAGTCTGAGTTTTGATCACAACTCCTACATATAACCCAGGATAGCAGTGAAGTCACAAAGCAGGTATTCAACACCAAACCAAGGGTTCCTCCTGCTTGTTCTGGTGCTTCCAACAGACCAGTGTTCAGGGACAGCCCACAGGAAGCAGCCACATCGTGTCCTCATGGAGCACTCAGTGCTGCTTTGAGACAAGCCTGAGTTTATTTTACTGCTGCCACTTGTGCAGCAAAGCACATGTCAGCCTTGCAAGCCTCAATTCCCTTACAGAAGGAGATACAAGCTAAGATATCATCTGAACAACAGCTGGGCTATTAGAGATCTTCAGAAGGTCTTGCATTTTGCAATCACACCCTCGAGAACAGCATGCCAGATTGCTTTTGCAGTTCACACAGGCACACTTTGGGGTCACCAATACAGCTCTGTGATCACCAAAGTAAAGCTAGAATGTTTCTAACAGGTAATGGAGATCAGCTATACCTGTCCCTGTCCTCACCACAGCACAGCCAGCTCCCAGCTCAGCTGGAGGGGATGCACACAGTCTCTGCTCAGGGAACTCAGTTGCTGATGGCTTTATTTTTAATCTATGAGATCACCCGTCACTAGTACGTAATTTGTTTCTGCAAAATCATGAAGCAAACCAGATGCTATGAGCATCCTGTCCCAAAAAAAGTCTTTAATCCAATGCTGTGACACATGGCCCGGGGTCCTGGTGTCAGCAGAGCTTCTGCCACAGAGTAGGAGCAAATTTACACCCAAATCACAAGTGTGCCAAGAGCATGTCCACTGAAATCACAGAGAGGCAGCACTTGAGAGAAACACAGACTGCAATTAAAGCACCCAATCTGGAAGGCCAGAGATCAACTCCTGACTTGGCCACACACGCTCTGCATTGCTTCACCTTCCTATCTCAGTTCCCAGCAGCCCTACAAGGGATGGAAGGACACGTGCACAGGCTGTGCCAGGGCTCAGACACTCTGGGCAGAGAGAGCTCCTCACCTTGGAGGAGCTGCAGCAGCTCCCCTGTGCCTCCACTCTGCTGCATCACCCTGGAGGCAGCCAACAATAACCTTCACTGTGCTCCGTGGCAATTCCTGGACCTCCTACAAAAGGAGAAAGTTTTCATAATGATAAAAAGCCACAAGTGAGAGACAATTACCTTGCAGTGCCTCACTTAAGCCTTTCCAGATCTTTTCCCTGTGCTTGTAAATCACTGTCAGTGTTGTTCCCACACTCCCCAAGTACAGCAGTCAGTATGTGATCCAAGGAGGTACACTTCCAGCACGGTACCACCACAAGGACATCCTGTGCTTCCCCCATCCAAGAAGGCAGGCAGGCAGCCTTTCCTGGGAAACTTATTTATCCAGTTACCTCTCGTTATCAAGAGACAACTCCTCCATAAACTGAGTTTGTCAGAGACTTCCTGTCTCCTTCCACATGTGGAACACAAGTAAACACTTCATCCAAGTGAGGGCAAATTGGTTGTGACTTTCCAGAGAAGCAGCACAAACCCTGCAGTTGGCACACTGCCCTTCCAGCGGGCACAGCCTCAGCTTGGCCAAAAAACACTGTTTTCACTGAAAAAAAGTCACCTTCAAAGGAAGCAGCTCCCAATGCCAGTGCCAGTGTGCAGCACCTAGTCAGTCCTGATGCCTTATTAGTCATGATTAATGCAGGTGGGTGAGCTTGGAAGGCAGCAAGTGCTAAATCCAAAGTGGATTCCAGCTTGTCTTCAGCACATTTGTAACTTCCCACCTGCTCTCCTCAGCTGCTGACAAGCTCCTGCACAAAGGGGAGAAGGCCCAAGACACAATAAAAACATCATGGCAGTACCTGTTCTCCTGAGACCCACAATGCCAGTGCTGGTGTTGCAACTAGACAACAGCAACCTGTTTCTAACCTCTAGGACACTTCTGCAAGATCAGAGTTGGAGAGTTAAACCCTGTGCTTCCCCCAGCCCCCCAACTTTTGGAATGGCAGTGTTGGGATTTCCCTCTCTCTGTCAGAGCTGTGCCTGGTCACCCAATCCCAAAACTAAGCTTTCTGATACCGACAACTTCATAAGGCTGTTGCAGGACTGCTTGAATTACAAACTGGTTTATCAGGGAAGGTTCCTTCCTGGGTTGCTGACTGCAGAGGACTCACCCTCCCATGACTGCACTGGGCTGACACTGCCCTTAAATGTGCTCTTAGCTACCCCAGCTCTCATGGAAGGAACCAGCCACCTCAGGTATGACCCCAGATGTCCTCTCTGACACGCTGCACAAAGCCCACAGGCCAGGCCAGGCCATGTGAGTCTCTGGGCTACACACCTCCTTACACACTTAAATCCACTAACACCTGCTTTTCCTCCCTGATTACATCTCAGGACACGGCACACGCTGTCCCAGCAGAAGCTGTGCTGCTGAAAGCACCAAAACACCTGGGAGACCTCGACATTTACCAAATAACTCCCTTGGGACTCTTCATAAATTTGCCTTGAGGGCTTGTACCCTCAGAAAACCAGACTGCAGGAACACAGAGGATCCCACATCCCACCCAGCAGTGCAGAGCACTGTGCTGCCTCACACAGAACACAGGAAAAGCAACGGGGAAAAAAATAAAAAAATAAAAATCACATGGCCCATTCCAAGAGGAGAAACAGTTTAATTCCTAATCCAAATGTCACTGGTCAGCTGATTAGCAGCTGGCCCTCGGCTGAAGCTAGAAAGGTGCACTTCAAAGCGACGTGTTGAACCCAACCACACTGGAATCGGGCTGAGGGCCAAGAAAATCTGCACAACTTACCTCAGATGGGGTTTCTTTTAAAGTGTGATTATTTCAGAAGAAGGTCAGGTGTAATTTTAGTGACTTCAGGTCACAGCAGTGCAGGGGGAGGAAGCCCTAAGGGTGAGCTGGGCAGAGCCCCCTGCAAACAGCCCAACCACACAATTAGGCAGCCCAGGGGACCCCCCTCCCCACCAGGCACAGGTTGGGCACTCACAGCCTTTGCTGGCCTGCAGCTCTGCCAAGGGAAGTCAGGATGAAACATTCCCACCATGTCCTTCTTTTCAATACAGAGGAAAAAACACAGCTGGCAAATGTAAGCTGACTTTGCACTGGTTTATAATGTCTGCCATTAAAAGCTTTGAAATCTACACTAGCAGGCAGCACACGGGCATGAATGTGAAAAGCTTCAGTGAGATATTTGACAATCATTAAACCTGAATCCCCTACTTACTCACTTTCAGGGGAAAAGACCTTCAGAAAAGATACTACTAATTTTAAAAGTGACTTTTCACAGACGTGAAGAAACTCAGCCTGCACCTTTTGCTAGAAGCAGAGCAAGACAACCAAAATCCTGCTCACACATGTGCCCCAACAGCCCTTACACACCTTGGGTCAGCTCAGCACTCTCTTACAATACTGTGAGTACACAGAGTCACACAAAACACAACCTCCCCTCAAAAATGGGACACTGGGGCAATCCCCACCTTGCTTTAGCTCAGGAGTACCCATGGCTTGTGGTACTTTGCCACACATGCACATCCCTCAAACTCCTTAGCAAATTCCTGATTTACGGCAACATCCCTCTCAATGTTTCTTTGATCCTTCTCAGACAGACACTGACCTCCTTACAACTCCAGTGTGGGGTTTGGGGGTGGGTTTTTGTTGTTTTGGTTTTTTTCTCCCTACACACAGGCGGAAACAAAGAGCAGCATCTGATTTGATCACACTGTTTTGGTTTCTTTTCATAACAAAACAGCAAGACAGCAGCCCGACTCACCCACACACTCCAGCAGCTCCTGGGTATTCACCTCAGCTCAGTGAACACCCCAAAACCAGTAACAACACCCCTCACTGTGTGGCTTTAACCCTGCCCCCGCAGACCCCAAGGCCAGCAGCACTGACCTCCCACAGCAGTTAATCCCTGCGCAAACTTTGAGGGGAATTTTAAGAGATTATTCGTGCTAATATAGAGCAAGACAGCTACAAAGACTCAACTGGGAGTCACCTATTGCAACACTGTAAAAAACCCCACTGATTCACAGGTACCTCAACACCACAGCCAATCACTCAAATTCCTTCTATGTTATTCCCATCTACTTCCTTCCCCAAGGAAGGAATGATCCTCCCTGCTCAGGAAAGCAGTAACCAGACACAACTATTTTTCAGGGGTGGGGGTGCACTCACAGCAGATATTCTGGGGAATCTATGCAGAGCCAACGAGCACGTGGAGCCATTTGCCACCTGGCACACGCTGGTGCTGCATCCAGGCCTCCACCCCAGGCAGGGCACACCCCTGGCAGCAGGGTTGCTCAGCAGAATTCAGGGTGACCAGGCACAGCTCTGACAGAGAGAGGGAAATCCCAACACTGCCATTCCAAAAGTTCTGGTTCAACCAGTTCCTCAGTCATGCAACTCAAGTCTCCCCCACACCATCCACCAGCATCTCAGAGATTCCTTCTTTGAAGCCACTTTGCACTTCGTTTATTTTCTAGGCTTCACACGCACCAAAACACAGACCTCCCATCTGCCTCCTAAAGCAACGGGACCAGAGGTGTTCCTTCCCAGACAGGATACTCCTCCTACAAAGTGCTTCCCAGGGGACTTTTCCTTTTAGCAGAAATAGCCAAGAGCTCACAAGTTGCCTTTTCAAAATTGCTGAAGCACCACTGCAGATACAAAGAGGTTTTCCAGCCGTGGATTCAGACGTCAGGAGTGCAGGGACCAGGCCGCCCTCGAGCTCCCCAGGCCTCCAGCTGAGTCAGGGAGAAAATGCTGTTCACCAGCTCTCAGGCACACGTATGCAGAGCTGCAGCACTTCTGCCCCACGCTGCCTCCCCAGATGACCTCCCTTTCCTACAGAGGAAATGGCATTTTCACCTCTCTGTTCCCATCAAAAGGTGACAAGCTGCAAACCCACAAAGCCACCTTGCTCTTGTCCCCTTGGAGGCTTCACTCAGCAGGCTGAAGGATTTCAGACTGCCCACAGCAGAGTCTAAATGTGAGGACAACACCTGTGTAGCCCATTTCACCACAAAAACTTCCTCTGCCTCGCAGGAACAGATCTCAGCACCTGTATTACAGGCCTTGCTCAGCCTGTGTGGATCCAGGAGCTGCAGCCAAGCCTAGGCCGTGCTCCATCCCAGAGGCCAGCCAAGAAACCAGGAGTGGCAGGGAAAAGCCCCCCCAGGGAGCAGCTCCTCCAGGACAGCGAGGAGGGAGGGGAGGAACCTCTTCCAGGCAATCTGTGCTTCCACCTCCACCTCTGCCGAGCAGGAGGGCCCGGTGACACACGGGCTCCGCTCCCCGGTGCTGTCAGCACGGGGCAGAACCTGCCAGCAGATTACTCATCAGCACAAACAGCCTCTGCCTTCCTATGTTACCAGGATGGGGCCACCCCACATTAAAAAAAAGACTCTGACAGCTCCTCAGGTTTAGCTCGTGTAGTTCCTGAGCTTCCAGGACCAAAAGGGCCTTGGAAATACCAGCCGAGGCGAACCTACAATGCAAATTTCAGGAAAAAAAAATAAAATCACTATAGTTACTAGTTAAAAGCCTGGCTTCAGTGCTCCTCTCAGCAGAACGCATCAGAAATCACGCCTGAAAGATGGTCACAGACCTATTTTTTTGCACGCTGTGGTGACTTCTTACAAACCTGAACATTGGCAGCGTACACAGAGTCCCTTTTCCATTTTAGGGCTCTTTCTGTAGAAGCCGTCCTCCCACTCAGCTCTCTCACAGCAGCTCCCCTCTCCTTCCCAATCACCAGATCAAAACAAAACACTGTTTTGACTGAAATGGCCCAGGATGCTGCAGGAGGGACCAGGAGCAGGGCTAAGGAGGCCAACATCTCTCTGAAGGTCGAGGCTAAGGTTACCAGCCAGAGCCAGCCAAGAGGCTCCTCACAGCTCCAACAAATGAAATGTAAAATGATAGTTGAAGCAGCAGAGCTGGTTACAATTAAACAAATGCCACCAGCAGCTTTGCTGCACTGCAAGGGCTGCACACGTCATGAGTTCTGTAATCCCCACGGCTCATTTTTAGTTCTTCCACCGTTTTATTTGGGGGGAAAAATACAGCAATTGGGATCAG